TACCAATACCTCCACTTCCTATTCAGGGTTCTGCTGTTGCCTTTTCCTTCCATAATTGTAAAAGACAATTTCTTAATTTTTCTGAGGTAGAATTGTCAAAAATTTAGTATTTAGTAAAAGTATGTGGTTTTGTATAGATATCAAAGTCATAATATCTGAAAATTTTTCCTAATTTTTTATATAAAGAAAGCTAATTCCAATTTGTAAATGATTACCATTAAAATTACCTGCTACAAAAGAGTGTGTTAGGCCTAATGACTCCAGAGTACTTTCTAGCTCTGTGTAGTTCCTGCCTAGAGCCGACCCAGCAGTACTCACCTCTAGCGGCTGACGTATTTCTGTCGGAGAGTGGGCTGTTTATAGTCCTTGAAGCACAGTCTTGTCAATCTCAATGAGCTTAGCTATTTGATTTTACTTGTATGTTATAAGGTATTTTCATCACATGCAGAGATAATTTTGTTTTCTCCTTGCCTCTTTACTCCTCAAATTTAAGGTCTTTTAGGGATGGTGCTGTTAAGAAACCAAAGATACTGTCCAGCAAGAAGCCTCCTGCATTCTCTGGGATCCGGAGGGAGGCACCTAGTGCCAGTCTTCTGGTGCAGTATCATGCCTCGCATACTTGGACCCGACGGGGCCGCTTAAAAGAATTGCGTATCAGGTGAGCTTATGTGTGGTCACCTGCCTTCATGAGTGCTTTCATATTCTCCAGTTGTGCCCTACAATATGCAGGCTATCAAGGCTCTCCCAGAAGAAGTCTAAACATGGTCCAAGAAATGCGATCATTTCCTACTACTCTCTTTTTCTCCCTAGATTTTTTTCCCTAGGTTTTTACTGGAAATCCTGATACACACATTCTAAAAGAGCTGTAACACTTCTGTTACTCTTGATGAGGTATATTAAAGGCATTCATTTATTCATTCAAAAATTTATCAGATGCTTACTTTGCCGGGTGTTACGATGCTGAGCATATAAGGTGAATAAGACATTGTTGGTCCGTGACCTCATGAAAGTTGAAAATTAGGTAGGCTTGATAGACTGTTAAGCCACAACAATAAAGTATGATAAGTGCAATGAGAGGAGAAGGGGGTGGTACCACACACACATAGCAAGAATAGCTGCACTAGTGTAGCCAGCAGTGACTTTCTGGAGGAAGTGTAGTTGAAGCTGAGTCCTGAAGGATAATGTAAGAATAAGCTAGATAAAGGGCAGGAGGAAGAGAGATCCAGGCTAAGCTCAGAGATTAACTGGACAAGACAAGCCATCATTTTGTGTGTGTACCAGGCACTGTGCTAGGCACTGGGGATACTATATAGGACATGGTTCCTGCTTTCACGGGCTCGCAGTGCAGCAGGAATGACAGACACTGCAAGCCAGTCACTGTGAGATAGTGTCATAATGTTACAGGAGGGCTTTGAACAGAGTGCTGGGAGTACACAGCTACTTGCTCTCTTTGGCTTGGGGAAGGTCCAGGACTAGTGGGCATTTGCTAGGCATTGTGGGCAAGAATAATAATATGAACAAAAGAATTATATATTTCCTTTACCTCAGCTCTGAAGTTTTAAATCTCTTCATTGACAAGACACTTTGTATTGAAAGTATTTTTAAAAATAATCTGCTTGGGGCCGGGCGCGGTGACTCACGCCTGTAATCCTAGCACTCTGGGAGGCCGAGGCGGGCAGATTGTTTGAGCTCAGGAGTTCGAAACCAGTCTGAGCAAGAGCGAGACCCCGTCTCTACTAAAAATAGAAAGAAATTAATCAGACAACTAAAAATATATACAAAAAATTAGCCGGGCATG